ATAGAAACATCCACACTTCAAAGCCCCAGGTCCAAGGAGGGAGGTAGCCAGGGTAGGTGGGGGTGAGCATAGGAGCCAGGGAAGGCTCCCTAGGAGAGGCTTTCCTGGTACCCTGTCCTGGGTGGGTGTCTGGTTCTGTTTCACTTTGTTGTTGCCCTTGTGTTTCCGGTGTTTCTAGCCACCTAATGTCCCTTCTTTGGGCTTCTCCAGCTTGCCCCACCCCATGCCCAACTGGAAGCTCACATATTTTCTCAGAGGCCTTCATGCTCCCACCTCTTCTCTCCTCCCCCCTGTTCTTGTTCAAACAAAGAAAGAGGAGGGGAAAGAAGGAGCCCAGTGGCAGCCTGAGCAGACCTCCCGGGTACAGAGTGCCACGCCCCCCCTCCCCCAAGCCTGGCCTTGGGGCCACATCACCAACTGCTGCATTTGTTGTATTTTTCTTTTTAAGTTGAGATGGATGAAGTTAACATTTTTATTGTAATTTTAGCGTTAGTGTGTGGGGTTTTGTCCCTTTTTTGTTCCGCTGTGTACAGAATGTGTATTTTCTTTTTTCTTTTGTTTTTATTTTTATCTTTGTTTTGCTTTTTTTTCCTTGGCCCATCCTTGTCAGGGATCTTTGTGGAGGAAAAGCTGGGGACAACCAGGGCAGGAGAGGTATGCAATCCCCCGGTATTGGCTGCCCAGCCTGATATCCTGTTACTGGCCCCTGCCTCCTGCCCTTTGCCTGTCCCCAGGCCTCTGGGACAAAGGAAGAGTCAGTTATCAAACCTCACTCCTTGTGGGTGATTGCTTTGCACCTATAGGCTTGAGTTTGGGGGAGTTTGAGGGTGAGCTAGAACCTCTTTGTGTCCTTGGTTTGCAGCTCTCCCCAATCCCTGACCAGAGCTGAAGGTGAGAAGCCCACAGCCCTTAGCGTCACTGGCTGAGACATTCTGACACTCTGGGCTGCCGCTTTTGGCACCCACTGCTCTTCCCTCAGAACAGAAGGGGGTGGGGAATGGAGGCAGCCTGGGAAGGACACGTGTGGTGACACTCACTAGGGAAGGCTGGGGCACCAGCCATCAGCTTTATAAACCTGCAGCATTGTCCCCAGCCTGGTTCAATCCTTCTAAGGGCCAGACTCAGGGTGGGGCTCAGCTTGGAGTTTTCTGCCCTACACCTAAGCTTTACGCAAAGCGCAGGGCTTACAGGCAGTCACGGAAAGGCTTAGAATGAGCACCCGATCTTTTCAGCCCCCCATCTCTTCCTGGAGATGCAGTGGAAAAGAGGAACAGCCCCCACCTCTGGCCCACGCCCTCCAGGGCCTTTGGTTTATTGTATTATAGTATATTTCACTGTGGAAACTGTCACGTTTAGTCACCTTGGAGCCCGCTCACCTGGTCCCATTGTTTTACCCTAGTTCCTGCTCCCAAGCACCCTTTGATTTCTCTTGTTTCTGAGGACAGTACGCCTGTTCATCTATTGTAGAGTAACCCTGTGACTCAATATTACCATAGTGCGATGTCGTTTTGTGCTATTTTGAACAATTAAAAGACTTTTTTTGAAATAACCACTTGGTGTCTTACTGTGTCCAGACTCTTAGGCCTTCTGCACCCAAGGTCTGCAAGTGAGTGGGGTTCAGCTTCCCAGTGTGTCTGAAGTACAGAAGGTTGGCTCAGCACTATGCACTGAGGCCGGCCGGTTCAAGCCCAGCCCAGGCCAGCTGAACAACAATGACAACTACAACAAGAAATTAGCTGGGGCTGGGCGCCTGTGGCTCAAGTGGCTAAGGCGCCAGCCACATACACCTAAGGTGGCAGGTTCA